GCATTTTCTGTTGCTATGACCTTTTCGCACTCTAGGGTATCACAGGCTCTTTGTCAAGAATATTATCTCCTAATTTTATTTACCATAACCCCAACCAAGATTAACTTTAGCAAGAACGAATAAGTTAGAACCAACAGCCTATAAACTAAATAAAAAATACTGGACGTATAATTAAGAAGTGCATAATCTTTTCTTTACTTAGTCTTAGACTAATGTTCAGGGTGTCATTCATAAATGACGTCACGCTTTTTTTTGGACGATTTCTACTTCCTTCTTCCTCATGGTCACAAAATGCCAGACCTCCACCTCTTTTAATGATGGCATACCTCAGCATACCACCCCTTCAAAATCGAAGTTTTAGTTTTTTTAAACATCGATTTTTTTTTTCTACAATATTTTCTGAGCTCGGTCAACATTGAGTATATTAATCTGTTTCTACTGCAATTTATATAAACAACAATTTAAAAACAAGAAAAAGCTGCTAAAATTCTAGCCGTACTATTTAAAGTGCATCTACACATTTTTTGAGCCACCCCCTCCCCCTTTCACAAAATTTCGAAACCCCTCTCCAAGGAGCGTGACATCAATAATGGACCACCCCATACAATATGATCATTTATTTGCATCATGTAAATTATCCTTTAGGCTTCTTGATGTAACAAATAGGTTACTTGATTTTTCCAAGCATGAGCTTAGCCTGTTCAGAGGCGTAGCGAGGGGGGGGGGGACGACATATGTCCCCGGGCGCCGACTGAGGGGGAGCGCCAAATTGAAAGTTTGAGAGGGGGCTGCAAATGAAAAGTTCGAGGGGGGGGGGGTTGCAAATAGAAAGTTTGTACCCGGGCGCCGGGAAGGGTCGCTACGCCTCTGAGCCTGTTTATAACATACCAGCGCAAGTACTGTGCTTGTACGCGTGTATTGTGTCGTATCAAATTAAAGTAAACAAAGTAGCCTAGTCGACTCTCCATTGTTTTGAAATGTGAGTACAGGCTTCGTGCTTAAAAAACGAGGCACGTTTTTGGGAATAAAACAGGACCAAAGATTGCAGATGTGTGTGTGTGTGTGTTTGTTGGGGGGGGGGGGGTGATGAAAATATGGGAAATATTTAAGTGGGGAAATAATGTATTAGACTGATAGGTAATTGTTTAGCTAAAAATAATTGATAAGGTGCAGTGATTGGCAAAAAAAAAAGACAGGCAAAAGAAGACACGAGAAGACATCAGGGAATGGACAGGTTTGACAGCGAGAAAGGCACGGAGAAAGACGGAAAACAGAGTAGAATAGAGGATTGCATTTAAAAGCAGGGTTTATTTCAGGCACCTCGCCCCCCCCCCCAAACGAAATAGAATTTATATAGGAAATTTATACTTTTACCAATGTCTATGTTTTGGTTGTGTAGAAGTGTGGTAGGGTGAGCTTACTATGATAAAAGTTACATCTATACTAAAAAATCAGTTACACAAAAGGGACCAACGACCGTCTAGAGGTCCATGTGTTGGAAGAAAAATAAAAGGTGTTATCTAATTTAACCAGATCTGCATCTCGGCGAAGTGAATCTATAGCAATGATTAGCAATGTGAAGCCACTCGGTCCCCATGATCTGGGTGGTTGGTTCTAAAATAGTCGTTTAATCATGTGCGATGTAGCCTCTATAGACTACATTGAAATATTATGAACACATTTAACGACATCTCAAAAGTTGCTTATGTAATATGACACGATTTGGACGCTATGATTATTTTTGCCTCTTACATGAGGAGCAACTGTAAAACTATATTAGAAAAAAATCACCCCCCCCCCCCCCCCCCCCCACCTTTCCCGTCAGTTCATCTGAAGGCCACGCGCAGACATTTCGCCAAAATACGTCAGTGATGGATGTGTGACCAAGAGTGGCCGTCCCTTAATTCAATTTGAGTTTCGATTTTCGCACAGGGCCGCGGGCCTATTATTTTTGTACAATTTTTTTAATGCTTTCATGTGCAGGAGAACCATAGCCAACGAGTAGCGATTGGTTGGTTAAAAATAGAACAGTGGCGTACTGAGGGTCCTCGATGCCTCTTGGCAGTGATACAATCTATTGATAAATCAACATTTTACCACTGGTCACTATAGTAGCCAGCTGAAAGGACACACTTAAGCACTTATGACAACAGGTAACTGGGGGTGGGGGGGGGAACTATTTGCCTTTGCCCTGGGCGCTAGAAACCAACTCAGCATTGAAAACCGCCTTTCAAAATTACTGTATGGCTTGTTAGAAGTAGGTTTGGTAATTAATTGTGTTGTAACCAACCATTATTACTCAAACAATTATTAACATACGTCTGATGTACATACTATTGTAGCTTAAGTAAAATAAATGCACAATATTCTTAAACGTGAGGAAAATAAAGTATGTATTTATTGCCATTATAAATTTGTTTTTGCTAGGTTCAAAGCATATCATGATTAAATTACATAAAATAACATGCACAGTTAAAAAAGTAATAAAAGAAATTGAACATTTTTCTCCTGAAAAGTTCTTGCAGTGTTAAAGCTAGCAAGTCAGAATTGGTTGGTGCTTGATTCGCGTCACGTGATTGACGAACTGGGACTGGTGTGAAATGTTCTGATCATGTTTGGTGATATACATTTCACGGTATCACAACAACCAGCTAATGGAAGTGATACTTTGAGTCTTAACAAAACATTAACTAATCAGTCAAACGTGTTTAGAAGCACTTTCTGTGAACGATAGAGGGACCAGATTCATCATACTCTTGTTTGGAGATCCACATCTGTTGGAAGGTGGATAGAGAGGCCAAGATGGAGCCTCCAATCCATACAGAGTATTTGCGCTCTGGTGGAGCAATGATCTTGATCTTCATTGTTGGTGGAGCAAGAGCAGTGATCTCTTTCTGCATACGGTCGGCAATACCTGGGAACATTGTGGAACCACCAGACAATACAGTGTTGGCATACAAGTCTTTACGGATATCGACGTCACACTTCATGATGGAGTTGTAGGTGGTTTCATGGATACCTGCAGACTCCATGCCGAGGAAGGATGGCTGGAATTCAGCTTCTGGGCACCTGAACCTCTCATTACCAATGGTAATTACCTGACCATCAGGAAGCTCGTAGCTCTTTTCAAGGGATGATGATGTTGAAGCGGTCTGCATTTCTTGCTCAAAGTCAAGAGCAACATAGCAGAGCTTTTCTTTAATGTCACGGACAATTTCTCTTTCTGCTGTAGTGGTGAAGCTGTAACCTCTCTCTGTGAGGATCTTCATCAAGTAATCAGTGAGATCACGACCAGCCAAATCCAATCTCATAATGGCATGGGGCAAGGCGTAACCTTCATAGATTGGGACAGTGTGGGTAACACCATCACCAGAGTCCATGACAATACCAGTGGTACGACCAGAGGCATACAGAGAGAGAACAGCCTGAATTGCTACGTACATAGCTGGTGTGTTGAAGGTTTCGAACATGATCTGTGTCATCTTTTCTCTGTTGGCTTTGGGGTTGAGTGGAGCCTCAGTGAGAAGAACAGGGTGTTCCTCAGGGGCAACTCTCAGCTCATTGTAGAAGGTGTGGTGCCAGATCTTCTCCATGTCATCCCAGTTGGTGACAATACCATGCTCAATGGGGTATTTCAGTGTCAGGATACCTCTCTTGGACTGGGCCTCATCTCCAACATAGCTGTCTTTCTGTCCCATACCAACCATCACACCCTGCAGACGAGTAGACATCGATTTTAAAGTTTTGCTTGAAATAATTTTTTAACCTCAAACGTCTTAAGAATTATCTTAATAAAACATGCGATAAAAGCCGCCGAAAATTATTGCTATTGAAGAAGCAAAAAATTAGCTAGTCAGTTGTCTTCAGACGTATAGCCTCTCCCCTCTAAAATAATTATGTCATAACTTGATACTAAAATACTAACAGAGCTTGTCTTGGCATACTTACTACGGTTTCACTAGGAATTAATCTCAAACACTGTCTATACACTTTCACAATCCTCCGTACTTTCGTCGTACACAAAAATCTGCCCTCCCCCCACCCCTCTTCTATGAGTGATTATCTTTCATGGACTACCCCTAATGAGGTCGTCATTATGAGGGTCTAATTAGTATTAACACAATCTAACCTTTCTACAACTGAATAGAAACACAGATTTCTTAACATTAATATTGACTTATAAGCTCGTACACTTTCATTTAACTAAAATGTTCATTTCTGTAAGTCTTACAATACTTACATATTTAGTAAAGCTAGTAATTCTAAGTAAATGTTTAGTTTAGATTTTTTTTTAATACCGGTAGGCTGCTTATGAAATGGCTACTAGATCTACTTATGTTTTTGTAATGCGGACTAAAGAAACTTTAAAAAAAACGAGATGTTAAAATCAATTTTTACCTGATGACGGGGTCTCCCAACGATGGAAGGGAATACAGCTCTTGGAGCATCGTCTCCAGCGAAACCGGCTTTGCACATACCAGAGCCATTGTCAACTACAAGAGCGGCTACGTCTTCGTCAGACATGATGTTCTGTTGAGCTGGGTTAAGTCCACGAAATGAACAAGTATGACCGTGTGATAACAGGGAGATCTGTGTCGCGAATGGCGGTGTCCGGATAGGACGCTTACTTTTATAGCCTACAGGACAAGCGGTCTGAAAAAACGCGCCATATAGGGACACGAGAGCACATTTGGCACGGTTCACTGCAGACATAGACGTAGTTAATACGGTGTTTGTGACCCTTCCCCACCCCCCGTCTTCCACAATTCCACGGCCCGATACGCGCTAATGATTTAACACAGGTCAACCACTATCCCATATTTTATTGATTAGAATAGAACACAAAAAAGGGCGATAACGCTGTTTTTTTGTGTTAATAGTTCTTAGTCCAACTAAATTTAAGTTTCAACACTTTAGCAGTCCTTTATTTTCAAGCATAGTTTATTATCTAATTATTTTTTTCTTTCTCGGGTTTGCCTTACCTTTGTACCCGAAACAGGTTTTCCAGCTAGTTTTATGTAGAGCATGACGCCTCAATCGCCGCCACATTTGTCAATGTCATCAAAACATGACTTCATTAATTAAACCCAACCACCCATAGATTGAACCCAACCACCCATAATACAACTCCAACTAGCGAAGACAATCAAAGGTAGTGAAAGTAAACACATTTAAAAGTTATCCAGTATGTTTTATGTACGCAATATATACACTTCTTCTAGTAGGCTGGACAAGACACACAAAATTGTCCCACTCTATTGATTTCTTGACTATTTCAATACAGTAGACCAGAGTTTCTTCCAGCCATCTCTTCGTGTGTGTTTGTGGGGGATATTGCCCCCCCCCCCCCCCCCCCGAAAATATCAAGTGCCCCTCCCCCGGAGAAATAAGTCTGGAAGAAACACTGCAGTAGACACTAAATTACCAGGTCAAGTAGCATTTTAGCTTTTACTTCACCAGGTATTGTAGAAACGTAGCATCTACTTTAGCAGGTATTGTAGCACCATAGCCTTTACCTCAGCAGGTAATGTAGAATAGACTCTACTTTAATAGCTAACTAGAATACCCGTCATCCGTTGGATAACTGTGGGTTTCGGGGGTCATCCATCAAAAAACATCACGTCTGTCACTCAGAGGCATAGCGACCCTTCCCGGCGCCCGGGGACAAAGTTTTCGATTTGAACCCCCCCCCCCCCCTCAAACTTTTGATGTGCACCCCCCCCCCCCACTCAAACTTTCGATTTGAACCCCCCTCAACCTATCAATTTATTTTTCCAAACCATTTTGGCGCCCCAACATATGTCCCCCCCCTTCCCCCCTCCACCTCCCCACCCCCCCTTCCCCCCCCGCCTCCCCTCCCCACCCCCCCGCCTCCCCTCCCCACCCCCCGCCTCCCCTCCCCTACCGTCCCCCCCCCTCCTCGGTACGCTACTGCAGTGTCACTTATCGTCACAAAAAACAGACCCCACATTCAAATATATGTTTTTTATCTTTTAAAAACACCGAAAACACCGATTTCGGACTATCCGTTCATAAACTGACGTCACAGGTGACCTACTCAACTCTACTTCACCTGCCCAGTGTCCTGCCAAGTCTCAGACAACATGTTTTTATCGTTTAAAAAACAATTCCAGCCGAGCATGTATCTGACCACACTATCCTTTCATATGCTTAGGACAAAGAAACAGATGAACTCTACTTCACCTGCCCTGTATCTTGCCAAGTTCAGATAGGCAACGTTATCATTCACATCTAAAAAAAAAATTGAAAAAAAAAATTTCATTGACATATTGGTCTAGAACCCGTGCCTCCTGCATGAGAGCTGACTACGCTACCATTTTAGCTATTTACTCGTAACGTCACAAGTGAATTTTTATACTATACTATGTGTCTCCTTATGCAACTTGATTTACGCGTATAGATTCTAGATCTAGATCTAAAAATAAGTCTAGTAGTACTAACTTTCAAATTAAATTTTATCTTAAATAAGCCAAACAAAGATTTATATAAAATAATTAAGGCCTGAAATAGATTCTAGATGTAGAATTTACATTGAATCTAGTGACCTACATCTAGGCTAGATCTAGATCTAGGCTAGATTCATAAATTTCCTTCGATAGCTGATCTTTAGATCTAGAGAAATTTATCGTAAAACTAAATGAAAAAGACAGTTGAAAATTGATATAAGTGTTGGAACGTAATAAATACAGCAAACGGACGTATTGTTAAAGTTATGACCGACAGAAAATTAGATTTAGAACGCGTTAAACTTTTGAATGGGAACACAATTTTCTTCAATAGACGCCGCCATTTTATTGTACTAAAGAGTAAACAAAAACCTGTGACGTCACTATTCCCACAAAGTTTAGTCAAGGTTTTAACATTTAAAAAAAAAATGGGTTATTCTGCGTAGGAATAAATCAATAAATTAATTAACGTCTTTAAATAAATTTGTGATCAACAGTCTGTCTGCATTAAAAAATTATTCTCTACCTGCATACCATTTTACAGCTTTCCAGATAGAGTCGAACATATCACAATTTTCGATCAGGCAAACAAATAAATATTCAAACATGTAAACAAAGTTGACTTTTAGTAGTATATAGATGTACCACTATAGCCTCTACTTTAGAAGGTAATGTAGCACCATAGCCTCTACTAACAGGTAATGTACCACCATAGCCTCTACTAACAGCTAATGTAGCACCATAGCCTCTACTAACAGGTACTGTACCACCATAGCCTCTACTAACAGCTAATGTAGCACCATAGCCTCTACTAACAGGTAATATACCACCATAGCCTCTACTTTAGAAGGTAATGTATCACCATAGCCTTCAGCAGGTCTCGTAACACCACTACTCTATCAAGTGCCTTAGCACCACACGATACAACGTGCCTCTAAATGACCTATGTTTATGACACCGACCCGTGTTAGTGGTCGGGTTTGATCTCTGGCCCATCAGTGAAGTCTCCTTGGTTATCTTAATCCACCCAACCCCTGGGACTGTGTGATAAGTTATTTATTGTACCCCTTGGATAAAACTCGCTGACAAACCTTTTTTTTTGTTGTTGTTGTTAAACTTGTCAAGTCTATATGTGTCTTTAAAGATGTCAATGATTCAGTTTTTGTTCTCGAAACGTTGTCTTGTTTTATTAGAGGGCAATTCTGATATTTCTGGTAAAATTATTATTCCAATAGGATGCGTTTGTCAACTCATCGTGTGTACCGTAAAAATTCACCAAACTCGGTAGGATTTAGAAAATACCATTTTAGACACTAGATGTCACAGACTCAGTGACTACACTATAAAATAATGAAATGGCGTGCACTTTAAATTCGATATCTCTTCGTTCTTGTGTTTTCAGTACCCGTGAAGTGGTTTTTTTAACAAGCAAAGTTGTAAGCTTTACGCTACCACTTGCTATTTTCAAGCCTGACTATTAGATCTAGTTGATACCAAGTCAATATACCTGATATTTTTTTTCTAAATTCTCTATTTTGTGAGACCTATGTGTTACTGTGAGTGTTACATTTCGGTATTTACACTGACCGTTTAAAAAAAACAAAACAGAAACACTAATTTCTGAACGACATGCAAATAAATAAAACAAACTCGCTAAAATGTTTCAAACATTTTATTGTAATAGACTTGATTCAATAGTTTAAAGCTGAGTAAGGTGATGGCAAAACCAACCATTCATTGTGAAGTATGTAATCACGTGACACGAAACGTTTACCACACCAGTGTCGTCACACTAAAAAAAAGTTTCGCAGTTTTATTAAAGAAATATATTATCACATGATTTTCCACTTCAATTTCTGTTTATTTAAAAACAAAGCAAGCAATAAGATAAAAAGTGCTAGGGGAAAGTTGCCTTTACAGACAGGCAGCAAAACTTGCAGTGTTTACACATTTAAATTTAATTGTATTGTTTTTACAATTTCAAATATAAGCGATGCTTTAGGGAATGGGCCAGATAGAGGGGGGGGGGGAGGGGGTTAAGACTTAAAGAGCTTTCTTACCTATATAATATGGGACAGAAGACTCATTTATATGACATTTTGGGAATCTTCTAAAACCACGTTGTATCTTTTCTAGTTTAAAAACTACACAATGATATCCGAAGTTATTTGCACAATTACCGGAGTCTAACAATGGATATTGTGGATTAAAAAAAAAAAACCGGATGTGGCCATATGCCTGTATAAATTAAGGATACACTCAATAAGTAAGGCCATATAGACAATGTATATCGGCACTGTTGATAAAGTGCTTGCTGGCCGTAGGTCGCTTTAAAAAAAAGTACTTCAACCACTGCATGACCCGGAAACAGTTTTGGACTCCACTTAAAAACAAACCCATCCTTGTGCTAGCAACACACCATTAATCTACCATTGGCCTCCTGCTGTCTTGTGAAGTATGTGACCGAGAAGCGTCTAAATACCAAAACATTAAATAGATCTGTGTATTTAATTTTTGTCTTGGGTGCGTAGTCTAAATACCAAAACATTAAATAGATCTGTGTATTTAATTTTTGTCTTGGGTGCGTAGTCTAAATACCAAAACATTACATAGATCTACGCATTTAATTTTTGTCTTGGATGCGTAGTCTAAATACCAAAACATTAAATAGATCTACGCATTTAATTTAAGTCTCGGATGTGTAGTCTAAATACCAAAAACATTACACAGATCAACGCATTTAAGTTTAGTCTTGGATGAATAGTCTAAATAACAAAACATTAAATTGATCAACGCATTGAATGTTAGTTTTAACTTGGTGTGCATGGACTTTATTGCATTGTGCATCAAATGTAGGTTATATACTAAACCACTGTGTGAGTACTGTGTTTTGTTTAAAAAAATAATGACATCATTGTGGCGTAGACAACAATTGGTGTCAGGGTACCAATTAGTACCACTTAAAACACTAGATCCTGTACCAGTACTGCTTGGGTTAGCTCGACAAAAACACAGCATCACACACTACAGCAACAGACAGCAAACATCAACCAATGATGTTAATCACAACCCAGTTGTAACCGGCGCTATACAAACTGTAAAAATACTTCAGGGTAGGCGTCTAGGTTTGGGCTTAAATATAGGCGAAATAGTGCTATAAAGAGTTAATTATATGGTAAATAGCCGACAAGGTCTGGGTTTCAATATAGGAACATGTAGTGCTATAAAATATTTCATATTATGGTTAAGATATTGAGGAGTATTAATATTGGTTCTATAAATCTAAATCAAAAAGAAATCGAGTGATTATTTTCATGAAGTGGTGTACAAATATAAAGCACACATTAATTTTTTTTTTTTGGGGCACGCAACTTATAGTACAAAAGGATGATACAAAAATGTTTATTATAAAATTATTCTAAAATAAATAAGACAAATAGATTACAAGACTAATAACAGGATATGAGATTTTGATTAACATTATTGCGGATAGATAGTTAACTTAAATTGAATACATAATTTTAAAAACATTTTCTATGAACAATTGCCGGGCCAGATTCATCATACTCTTGTTTGGAGATCCACATCTGTTGGAAGGTGGATAGAGAGGCCAAGATGGAGCCTCCAATCCATACAGAGTATTTGCGCTCTGGTGGAGCAATGATCTTGATCTTCATTGTTGGTGGAGCAAGAGCAGTGATCTCTTTCTGCATACGGTCGGCAATACCTGGGAACATTGTGGAACCACCAGACAATACAGTGTTGGCATACAAGTCTTTACGGATATCGACGTCGCACTTCATGATGGAGTTGTAGGTGGTTTCGTGGATACCTGCAGACTCCATACCAATAAACGAGGGCTGGAATTCAGCCTCTGGACAGCGGAACCTCTCATTACCAATAGTGATGACTTGACCATCCGGGAGCTCATAGCTTTTCTCCAAAGAAGATGACGTAGCAGCGGTCTGCATTTCCTGATCAAAATCAAGAGCAACGTAGCAGAGCTTTTCTTTAATGTCACGGACAATTTCTCTTTCTGCTGTAGTGGTGAAGCTGTAGCCTCTCTCTGTGAGGATCTTCATCAAGTAATCAGTGAGATCACGACCAGCCAAATCCAATCTCATAATAGCATGGGGCAAGGCGTAACCTTCATAGATTGGGACAGTGTGGGTAACACCATCACCAGAGTCCAAGACAATACCAGTGGTACGACCTGATGCATACAGAGAAAGAACAGCCTGAATAGCTACGTACATTGCAGGGGAGTTGAAGGTCTCGAACATGATCTGTGTCATCTTTTCTCTGTTGGCTTTGGGGTTGAGTGGAGCCTCAGTGAGAAGAACTGGGTGTTCCTCAGGGGCAACTCTCAGCTCATTGTAGAAGGTGTGGTGCCAGATCTTCTCCATGTCATCCCAGTTGGTGACAATACCATGCTCAATGGGGTATTTCAGTGTCAGGATACCTCTCTTGGACTGGGCCTCATCTCCAACATAGCTGTCTTTCTGTCCCATACCAACCATCACACCCTGGAAAAAAAAATATTTTCGTTTTACTGTGCTGCGTTGTAATGTAATGAATAACAAAGGAGTTTAATTTAGCCAGCACGAATACGTTACAGATAGAAGATAACGTGATGAGCGCTAATCAGGGATCTAATTAATTACAAAAAAAAAAAACCTCATGAGAATAGATATCGATTGTCTGGAAAAATGACCCGAAGAGAACAAGAGAGAAGGGCCATGAGCCAAACTGAGTCTACCCCAGTCTTAACATGTAGAGGAGGTGTAAGCAGGCGTTGTAACTGAAATAGCAATATATACATAAAGTGATATTTCAACGTGTGTAATGGTAGGTTCGGATCCCGTTGGGTTCTGTCTGTTCTGTCTTTACTTGGACTATATTCTGTACCTTTGTCTACCCCCGTCTTAACAACCTTCTAGATCATTCGTTTAGCAATTAAACGTGAAAAGAGTACCAAGTGGCAAGAAAAAAAAATTGTGACAATTTTGTTGATGATGGAAAATGCGATATTTGTAGGATATTTCGGGAGAGTGTTTGTTGAATATTTACGAACTAGAATAAAACGGTTTAAAGAGAATATCCATTTTAGGGGGGGGGGGGGGGGGGGCATAGGGGGCTTTTATGTTCAATTTCCGGTAGGGTCAAGACAGGGTCTCTTTGATGTGGGGTGCATCAGTCGGACCACTATGATGGGGAGAATAAACGAGGGGGGTAGGATTGACGACTGTGGTGGGGAGGGCAGATGCCGTTTGAATGACAATAAACTAGACTGAGGGGGGTAGGGGTGAGGGTGGGATGGAGGTCGAGTGTGAGTCATAATTTCCAGAATATTCGCAACAGCCAGGGTAATCGATCGTGCAAAAACTGGCTGGTGGGGACGTTAGTCGCGTCAGCCGATGCCACATACAATTACATGAACACATAACATATACGCTTACATCAACACATACCACATACAATTGCATCAACGCATACCACATACAATGACACAGACACATAGCCTACAATTACATCAACATATACTACATACAACTACATCAACATATAGTACATACAGCTTCACCAGTACACCATATACATATTTAGGTACTGGTTGATCATCTTGTTAACGAAGACGAGCGGTTTCATCAATTCTTTTACGAATTTTGTTTCGTCCTAATTTTTAAATATTTTTACAGGTCTTCTACTGAGGCGATGAGTTACTCAATATTTGGAAGTTTAATTCTGGCCCAGCATCCAAGCTTCATTACAAAGACAAAATCCAATCATAAGTTTTAATGACTTAATCTACTCTCCCCCCCCCTCCCCCCTCCACAATTTGTGAAGAAAATATTTTTTTATGTTAGCGCCCATGTTTAAAAGAGCTGACAGGCAGATATTGATTATGTACGAGATTCAGATCATACATTTATATGTGTTAAGAAAACACGATTGTCATGTATATACAAAAACATATCTACCAACAAACAAAACAAAACAAAACCTGACCAACCGCGTGTTGATTTTGCGTACTTTTACAACCTTTTGTTTTATCTTTGTTACTAGACCCGAGACATGAAGGACGCTGCAAGGGGCTGAACAATAACAAGACGCTAGGTGGTCACCAATTTAAGCACTCTTTTGTTTTCCATTAGCTATCACAGTGGTGTCCCTTTGATCCCACTACTAATCCCTAACTAAGTAGATGTAAGCTTCTACAAGTATAATATATTCATAAACATACAATATATATATATATATATATATATATATATATATATATATATATATATATATATATATATATATATATATATATATATATATATATATATATATATATAGTGTATGTAGGCTATGTGATCGTGACACATTTTATTTGGAGTAATAGGAAAGTGTGTCGGGATTGTTTTGAGGAGGGAGGGGCTAACAGGGGCTTTTGGGTAAATACTCTCGAATCACCAGTATGATTCACACAGTACATCAAAGATTTACAGCCTTGACAACAAGTAGGCAAGTGACTCATTTTTGGGGGGGGGGGGGGGGGGGGGGTTGAAAAACAAAAACAAAAACACGAAACGTTTTCCTTTTATTATTTCGCACGGTATCTTTATTTTTATACGAAATCTATTGACTTTTTTCCCGAAAAAATTAGATTTTGTATTAGTAAAGGGAAAATGTAAACGAGGATTAAAATACACACAAACACAAATGAAGATATGCATTTATGTTCTATATTGAAGATCTGAATTTAAATCACAATTTTCTGCGGACAAAAGGCTGACTTGGATAAAAGGCCGACATGGACTAAAGGCCGACTGGGAATAAGGCTAACGGGGAATAAGGCGAACAAGAAATAAGGCCGATTGGAAATATGGCCGACAAGAAAAAGGCCGACATTATAAAAAGCCGACTGGACATGCGTTGAAACAAATATGTTATATAAAGGATCATCAAGAAACTGGTAATGTCTCGTGTTCAAAACACGGTCAGTCTAGAACTCTAAGATCTGGATTTGTCCGCTTATCATTTGGCCATCTGCTAGCCTAAGCTAAACTGGTGTGCCATCGACCATCCTTGTTTGTTTATCCTTGACCACCTTTTTTCTTAAACTCAGACTCTAAAGAGCCACCCCTGGACTCACAATTCTTGTTGATTTATTATAGACTACAACGTACATAATATACATGTTATCATTTTTTTACACGTTTTTAAATACATCACATACAAAAAGTTTATAGTTTTAGTAGTTATTTTACTTTAAATCTTAGAAAATTGTACTTTAATTTTTGTGTCGTAAAACATTTGGATTTTCTCCAATGGAGTCCACTAAGTCGCGAAGGGCGTGGCATCTGAAAAAAAAGCTCCTTCAACGAAAGAGAGTATGGATGTAACCAAATAAGGGAAGTAACTTAGTAGCAAGGCGGACGACATGATCTCGCAAGCTGTGACACACTCTAAAATTCGTTGGTCGGTCAAAGATGTTTGCACTGTCTCACAAGGGGCTACGTCTGTATTTGGTTTTGTTGTCATAATCACGATTTGCTTGTGTTTTCCTAATCACGATTTGCTTTTGTTTTCCTAATCGCGATTTTGTTGTTGATAATCTTGATTTTGTTTTTTCTTCATTAGAAGCCGAGTCCACAGGATGGAGATTAGATATCAGTTCCTGTGTGTCACCAGCACAATAAACAGCCCTGTTTTGTCACGTGTTGTGACAGCTCAGTGCTGTTTGTGTGTTTTCTGCTTACAACAAGCCAGTCGGTCTGATACATTGCCCCACAACACTACCAGGACTTGAGATAACCATTGAAAATATGAAAATATGGTTTTTCCAACATGAATTCGAGAAGTACTTGAAATAAGCCTAGCACTGCTGGCATGTAGCCTAACGAGACTGACATACAGCCTTCGGTACCTGACATTAAGGTTAGCAATACTGACATGACATGAAGCCTAGTGGTACTGACAGAAAGCCTAGTGGTTTGACAGAAAGCCAAGTGGTACTGACATATGCCTAGTGGTACTGACATATGCCTAGTGGTACTGACAGAAAGCCTAGTGGTAGTGACAGAAAGCCTAGTGGTACTGACATATGCCTAGTGGTACTGACAGAAAGCCTAGTGGTACTGACAGAAAGCCTAGTGGTACTGACATGAAGCCTAGTGGTACTGACATGTGCCTAGTGGTACTGACATGAAGCCTAGTGGTACTGACATGTGCCTAGTGGTAGTGACAGAAAGCCTAGTGGTACTGACATGTGCCTAGTGATAATGACAGGAAGCCTAGTGGTACTGACAGAAAGCCTAGTGGTACTGACAAAGCCTAGTGGTACTGACAAAGCCTAGTGGTACTGACAGAAAGCCTAGTGGTACTGACAAAGCCTAGTGGTACTGACAGAAAGCCTAGTGGTACTGACATGTGCCTAGTGGTAATGGCAGGAAGCCTACCAATGACCCCAGCAATGTTGGTCGCCATTTACCCCCCCCCCCCCACACACACACACATTAAAATGATCCATGCCAAATGTGTCTGGGCTTCTGCCAAGTCTAAAATGGCACACATTCAGTTAGATGCTGTGTCTGAAGATGTTTTAGGAAAAAACGGCACACATTCAGATAGATGCTGTGTCTAAAGATGTTTTAGGCAAAACGGCACACATTCAGTTAGATGTTGTGTCTAAAGATGTTTTAGGCAAAACGGCACACATTCAGATAGACCGTGTCTAAAGATGTTTTAGGCGAAACGGCACACATTCAGTTAGATGCTGTGTTTAAAGATGTTTTAGGCAAAACGGTACACATTTAGTTAGATGCCGTGTCTAAAGATGTTTTAGGCAAAACGGCACACATTCAGTTAGATGCTGTGTCTAAAGATGTTTTAGGCAAAACGGCACACATTCAGTTAGATGTTGTGTCTAAAGATGTTTTAGGCAAAACGGCACACATTCAGTTAGATGTTGTGTCTAAAGATGTTTTAGGCAAAACGGCACACATTCAGTTAGATGCTGAGTTTAAAAATGTGTTGAAGACTTCCCATGATGCCAGCGACAGGTAATTAGCCCGACCCCCCCCCCCCCCACCAACGCCTCCTCTCTCAGGATTGGTTCTTTATTATCCGATTTAATAATATATCGTCGATGTAATTATCTTGCCGACATTCCCCTCGCTCGCAAGCATTAACTCTAGCCTATCGATATTTCTAGATCGATCTTCCTATGTTTAAATTAGATCTTGGGTTTCTTTAATGGGCGAGGCATTGGCTGCATATAAAATATTCATTAATAAATTTAAAATTTCATTTTTAATTTAACAAATCCAACGGTGTAGGAACATTCAACGAAACTGCAAATAAGAATGGTATAACCAGTTTGGGGTAAATATTGCACAACACGCACACTTTCGGAATTGCAATAAGATTTACTGAGTGGGGGAGAGGTGCTTTTTTTAAAAAAAAAATGAAATTAAACCGGGTATTATGAAACACTTATTGACCTTCTTTGAATCAGTGTTTCTTTCTGACATTT